ACCGAGAACCGGGATCATATATATGTTTTTTTCATGTAGGTTGGTATTAGCAAAGCCCTAAAACCCTAAAGCCCAAACCCTAAACGGCCCTAAACCGTTTCTCTCTCTGTCTCCTCCGAGGATGCAGCCGACGAACGCGGTGAGCCCGTCAGGCGAAGCGGGCGCCCAGTGGGACTTCGACGGATTTATTTACTGCGCCTTGGGGCGGATTTAGGGGCTTTCTTCGTTTGGCTTCTCTTTTGGGTTTTCCGATGTTTGGGATACTTCATGAGCTTGGGAGATTTCGGGTTCCTTGGGGCTTTGAGGGTGCTATGGTTTACGGAGTTTACGGTTGTCGCTGTAGTTCAATTTCGTCTTGGCCTTGATGTGTAAAGGGATTTGGGGTTTACGGTTTTGAGGAAGTGCAGCTACAAAGCACGGGAGTCTCAAGTCTCAAGACCACCCTTGCTTACAGACGCAAACCCTAACCCTTGCATCGACCCCGGCTACACCTTGGATCCTTGGTAAAATCGTGAATCCCGAATCATACTTTCTAGCCCTAGAGCCGAAACCCCCAAAACACATTGGAGACTTCAGGTGCCTACAACAACGGCGACGGAGTTTACGAGATTCTCGTTGAAGCTCGGCTTTCAACTCAACCGGTAAGAGTTGCGAGTTCAGGATAACATGTGAGTCGGAGCAATTACCAATATGATGCCTCAGAGCTTCTGATCACCACTATACGGCTATATCATAGTATAGTTGATTCCAAGAGTACATTGATCTGCTCTTTAGGGCTTTCGAGGGTTCAGGACCTGGTGCAGGGCCCTACTAAGGGAACTCAAGGTTTCGAGTACCTTTTGGTTTTGACTGCCAGATGGGTAGCAACAGGGTGCCCAACAGGACTAGTGTGTAGGTCGTTTCGCAGCTACCTTCCTTGCACGGAAAAGAAAACCACACACCCTTGACCCTAGATATCCTGCGTCATAAACCCTGGGTCCTAGGCCTGTGACCCCAAATCCAATACACAATCCTTTCCAGCACGCACCAGTCCACTCGTCAGCAGATGTGCCATTATCGAAGCGACCACGATGATGCAGAAGCCATCTTCGCAGTGAGTTCGGGGTTTGCGGGGCAGGGTTCAAGCATTTAGGGCATCCCTTCATGGATGCCCCGGAACATCAAACTTAGAGCAAAACCCTGAACCCTGAAGCATAGACGCTTTGAGACCACACAGAACCCGACAAACCCCAAGCTGGTTTCCAAGAGCCCTGAAACAAAACGCAGCCCCCGAAGGCCTCAACACTGAACTCAAAACCGAAATCCTACACCCTGAGGACGACGTGGATGTGCAGAGCTTGGCGCCTTGCACCCGAAGTCTCCAATATAGAAGCCGGAAGACCTGTTCAGCATACTCCTTAGGGTTCCTAAAGTAAGATCCTCTTGTAATTATTGGGGACCCTTTGTCGGGTGTTTTTTAGTTTGAAGTCAAGATTTTGGAGTTTTTGGTGGAGCTTGTGGAGTTGAGTTAGGTATGTGTTTTCAAACCCTAACAGTGTAAATCCCTTGTGCCATCTCTGAACTCTACGCTGATTCCCAGGAGGTGCCAGTCACTCTCGTCAACCCATCACAGGAGTTGATCGGCATCTCCAACGACGGTACCCTGGCTTTTCTGCTGGTCGGAAGGTCTTGACGGCGTAGCGGCGTAGCATCTATCAGACTCCTCCTCCTCCTCCTTCCTCCTCCAACCACAACAACAACAACTACTACTACTACTGCTGCTACTGCTACTGCTACTGCTATTGCTATTGCTATTGCTACTGCTATTGCTACTG